AATCCTACAAAATATTTTTAAAGCTTAGCAGTTATTTTGCAATAATATACATATGTATTTTAAAGGTTTATAATGACAAATTTTCATCAAATATCTGTCTAATTGACATATACAGCTTGTGTTCCTACTTTCATTCTTAAATTATTATTTAATTTACATAAGTAAGACTTCAATAAAGACTTTCACAATAAACTCATATTTGTTAAAGCAGACCAATTATTAAATGTTTTTTAACATTGTTAAATAAATGATCAGATCTTAATTTACCTAAGAAAAATATTTAGGTAAATCCAAAAAATCATATGGTGATAAAGTGAAATATTAACACCAATATCCATTTACAGAAATAAGTGTTACATAAGATATTTCAAGGACCAGAGTTGTGGGTCCTGGTGAAAATATCAAGATTTTAAATTGAGGGAATGGATTTCTTTCGGTCACTGATAAAATATCTTGTTCAAAACTGCCAGAGTCTTGGTTGTTATTTCACAAACTCAGAAATGTCACAAGCAAATCATATTAACTACTCTCAATAAATGTGTTATCTAATATGATTAAACTATAAGAATTCCTGTTCTCCCGAACCAGTACTAAAGAACACCCTAGTAAATTTAGATTTCTGAATACCATCTTATTCTTTTAACTATCATTTTGAATTGCATGTTAAAAATGCAAAGAAGGTAGTGATTATGATTCTCACAAACTACTTCACTTATATATTCCATTATATGTTGCTTTGCTTTTAAAAATCCAGTCAGGGGCGCTTGGGTGGCTCAGTGGGTTAAAGCCTTTGCCTTTGGCTCAGGTCATGATCCCAGGGTCCTGGAATCGAGTCCCGCCTCAGGCTCTCTGCTCAGCAGGGAGCCTGCTTCCTCCTCTCTCTCTCTGCCTGTCTCTCTGCCTACTTGTGATCTTTGTCTGTCAAATAAGTAAATAAAATCTTTAAAAAAAAATAATTTTAAAAATCCAGTCATCAGGGTCCCTTGGTGGCTCAGGTCATGATCCCAGGGCCCTGGGACAGAGCCCCATGTTGGGCTCCCTGCTCAGCAGGAGCCTATTTCTCCCTCTCCTGCTCACCCTGCTTGTGCTCTCTCTCTCTCTCTCTCAAGTGAATAAATAAAATCTTTTAAGAATTAATAACTATAAATAAACAAATAAATAAATTTTAAAAATCCTGTGATTATCTACATACCATTGTAGATACTCTTATTTCCTAAGAAATCATGAAACCAGCTATCTTTCTACAATCAAGAATGCTGATTCTGGTTAGAACAAGGAAGGACAAGTTTCCCACATTATACATGGCCAAAATTTAAAAAAAAAAACAAAAAAAAACTGAAACAACTATTAGCAGAATATCTTTAAATTGGAAACAGAGAGATATGGAACTTTTGGGCTTTAAAGTCTAAAGAGAATTCAGAGGTCCCCTAGCTTAGTCTTCTCTACAGTGCAGGACTCCTTTCTATAATAAAAGAGCTTAGGTTATAGGGCGGTGGCCTAAGGATAACCTACAGCCCGTAAGTATAGTCTACATGACCTCCACAGTTTATGTTTTGTTTTGTTTTAATTAAGCCAATGCACAAAAATCCAGATCTTTGCCTCGTCTTTAAAATCCACCTGGAGCTGCATGTCTGCTGCCCCTATTGGATGAGTCATGCCTTCTCCACTTCTCCACCGCACTTCCCATCAGCGCATTTCACTCACCCATCATCCGGCTGTTTTAAGCAACCAAGCATTTCAGTTGATGACCACTCACTACACTCACTCTGTTGCTAAACATCATCATGAAAGGGGAGGAAGCATACAACTTTGCAAGTTGACCAATTTCACTGTAGACAACGCTAAACATTATTGAGAATTTCTAAAATAATTTCCAAACACAAACCAGTTCTGTCCTCAGATTCAAAGTAAGCTTATTATTCTCTCTTCCACAGAACAGGCTTCTAGATATCTGAAGACAATTAACTTTCCTAGGTCTTCACTTCCAGCTTAACATCTCCAGAGCCCCCAAATATTCCTCATAGCAATATATGCAAGCCTACTTATGGCCCCTGGGATGCTTCTCTGCCTGAATGAATTCTACTTATGATAAATATTCTATTTATTATGATTTCTCAACTCTTACTTGTATGTTTATTATATATTCTAGTTATCAGAGCTCTTCATATGTAATAATGAAATATTTCCTTGTTCTACATCAATGGTTCTCAAACTTTTTGGTCTCAGGACCTGTTTTCACATTTAAAATCACTGAAGATCCCAATGAGCTTCTATTTAAGAGAGTTTTATCTATTGACATTCACTGTATTAGCAGTTAAAACCAAATTTTATAATTAATTCATTCATTTTAAACACATGTTAACATAACCGCATATTTCTATGAAATATTTCTATGAAAAATAAACACATTTCCAAAACAGCATTGTCTCCCTCCTTTCATCTAAATACAGAACTTAAATATATAGTTCCCTGTGGATCTCATTTTGTTGGTTTCACATCACTCTTTGGTAGTGGACACTAGTGATGCCCATTTTAGCTCCCTTAAGGCCAGTACACCCATCCTCACTTAGCTATTTTGATTGTTAGCTGATAACAACACACAGCAGAATTAATAACACTGGAGCCACATGGCTTGGGAAGCTACCTTCACCTCCACTTTACCCAATGACTGAATGACAAGCCAATAACTGTCACAGAGTACAAAAGACCCATCCCAATGACACAAAGTGGAACTAATTCTGGGTGTAGTTTGTGCTCCGTAGCTTCCCACGGGATCAGACCCAAGTTAGTTTCTAGCAGAGACCACATTCTTCCTTAGCTTTTATCCCTTGTCTTATTCTGCTTCTGTCACTCTCTTTCTTCTAAGAGCCCATCCCTAACAAATCACTTGAACAGGCAACTCCATCCCAGGCTCTGCTTCTGCCAAACCCAACCTGAGACATCTTTCATCCCACCAAGATTATTGTAATATCGACTCTGTCATATATCATATTAATGATCTAACTAATGATCTAACTATCTCAGCTGTACAGCATCTCAAATATGCCAAGCATTCTATCATAAATCAATGCAGTGGTTCTCAAAATGTGATCCCTGGATCAGCAGCTACAGTAGAATTCGGGAACTTGTTAGAACTGCAAACTCTCAGGCCTTATTTCAGACCTACTGAATCAAAAATGCCATCATAGAGATGTGCCATCATTAACCAATCCATTATTGTTATACATTTCAGTAGTTCCCATTTCTTTCTAGTATAAATAATGTTGAGATGAATGTACTTGCAGGTAAATCTGTGTACATTTCTAATTATTCTATGGGTATTTGTCTGTAATCTACTTTGAAGTAAAAATATTAAATCAAAAAATAAGATGTACTGATAGATGAATAAAGGGACAGATATATAATAAAGCAAACACAGCAAATGTTAATGGTAGAAACTAGGTGATAACAATATGGATGTTGACTGCAAAATTTCTGCAACTTTTTCATGTTTGAAATTTTTTAGAAAATGTTTAAAATGAAAAATGTTGAAAAGACTTCTATTTATGAAGTTAATTCCTAGAATTGGAAAAAATTGTTCATAGTATGTGGCCATCTTTATACTCTGTGAAGTTAAAACATCAACCAAAAAGTGTCAGTTCCCTCACACTGTCAACACCACATTTTAATGCTTTCCAATCACTACCAATGTGTTAGGCATAAACTAGAAATTCATCTTTAAAATCACCATTTCCATGTGCATTTTTAAAGTTAATATATAATGAATTGAAAAGCTTCCTAAAATGCTTGGCCTCAGATTTGATGTTGGCTATTTGAACTATGAAGCAGTAATCAGGATTTGAGTGCCCACCCAGAGGCACTCAGCTTATTACCAAATACAATACCCTCAAGAATAACTTGCAAACTGAATTACACTGGCAAGAGTTACTTCAGGGCAGTGTCCTATATGGGTGGGGGAGGGGAGAGCTAACACTGGATTGCCAAATCGGACTGATTTAACAGGTCCTGAGAAAGGGCTCTTCCTTCACAAGAAAAGTGTCCTCTGCCATTTACCAGGATGCTCAGAATTCCAAGCATTAGTATTTTCTTCCACTGTGTTGAAACAATTAGATCTCCACTAATTCTATTTTAGAATTCAAGTATTTTACTTCAGAATGGGCTCTCCAAAATTATGGTATATCCATAGGATGGAATGCAATGAAGCCATTTAAAAAGAACTATGGAATTCTACATTTACTGACATGGAAAGATCTCCATGATATATGACTTGTTCATTGCAAAAAAGGAAAAATATATATGCGTCTGGATGATAGAAAATGTGTGGAAGGATATTTACTAAAATATTAAAAGTGGCTATCTCCAGTTAAAGGACATATGGGAGTTTTTTTACTCTTTACATATTTCTTTATTGTTTGCTTTTGCCATGGATATATTAAAAATTTCCTTACTAACAATAACAATACAAGAAGGCTATTTGCATTTTGATAAAAATAAAATTGAAAATATCCCAGAAAATCACTAAGCCATTAGCACCTTATTAAAATTTAATTTACCAAGAATTTCAAGTCAAGGTTAAAGTCTCCTAAGGAATGAGACCCAGATTCAGAATATTTTAAAGGGCATAGGAGAAAACAGTTAAATACAGACAGCCTAGGCAAAGAGATCTCCAGCCACGTACTAATCAGCTGGGTGGGGGACAGGTCTGTGCTGTCCTGGGAGGATTTCACTGGAGAAAAGTCAACAGGCAATGGAAGGCATCTGTGGTCTTCAGATCCACAGTCTGTATTGACTCAGAGCGGATCTTAACTTTACCACAATTTCTGCTTTCAATATTATAGAAGAAAATATCTCCTAACCAATGATGTTCAATGTTCCCCCTAGGGTAGGCCCAGGATCCAATGCCAGTTATTTTTTTCAAATACATATTTAACAGATTTAAATTGTTTCATTTATACTTCACAAAGACTGAAAGGGAGAATATGATATAGTAAGCCACTTACCTCCACGGGAAGACATGTCTGGACGTGGGCAGATGTTCCCGGATGTGATACCAGTGTCCCAGGTTTAATTTGAAATTGTGTTTTGCACATGTAGCCTTCAGAACAGTCCTGTGTTCCACATGAAGAATACATAAGAAAATGCCATTTTAAGAATTCATCATATTAAGAGCTATGGTTTCTTGTAAGTTCCAAACCGAGTAATAAAAAATTAAGTACATTAAATTATGAGAGATATATTATGGATAAAGAAACTCATCAAATAAACCCTGCATATAGTAGGTATTCATTGAACAGAAGTTTTAATCCCCTACTTTTCTCACTTATTAATGATGTTTCCCCTTCTCTTAGGTAGCCCCCCTCCTTTTTCTTCCAAGCAGTACATAGCCCATAAGTCATAGAGCAAAACCTCAGGTTGGCAGCTGTTAAAAAGCGTTTAAACTTACAGAAATACTTTCTCACATATTAATATTGATTTCATGGCCTATATAAAAAGAGAAATTTAAAGAGGACTTGCAACAGATCTTGAAGCTAGAAGGGACCTTCCATTTTAATTTCTTGCTCAAGGCAAGATCTCCATCACAACATCACAGGGAGATAATTACGCAGCGTCTACCTGAGCACTTCCAGGAACCCTTGCTTTACTTCCTTATATGACCACCACCTCCATTTTGGTACGTGCTACATAGTTCACTGAGAAAATACTATTTTATATTGCACTGAAATGTTTCTCTTTAACCTTAACTCACTGGTTTTAGTTCTGCTCTCCAGAAGCTAAACTCTTTTCCACAAAGCCATTCTTCATAGACTTGAAGACAATTACCATCATTTTCAAATGTTCCATAGAAGATATGATTTCCAAACCCTTCACCACTTGTATTTCTCACCTCTGTCTTTTTTTTTTTTTTAAAGGATTTTATTTATTTATTTTACAGAGATCACAAGTAGTCAGAGAGGCAGGCAGAGAGAGAGAGGGGGAAGCAGGCTCCCTGCTGAGCAGAGAGCCCGATGTGGGGCTCGATCCCAGGACCCTGAGATCATGACCTGATCTGAAGGCAGAGGCTTAACCACTGAACCACCCAGGTGCCCCTCACCTCTGTCTTATACTTGCTCTTAAATACACTGTTTATCTAATAGTGGTCAGTTCCATTTTTTAAAAGCAAAACTTGGTTGAATTCAATAAAGTCATATATAAAATGTAATACCTCCTCATACACAAACATACTCACATATTAATGAGTATTATTAATTCTCCACCAAACCGTCACACTAACACTCACATTTTAACAGAATTTAATAGTTATAATTAAGGAAATATGATTAATCTGATGCAGCAACAAAAGTACAGAATAGCATTCCAACTAAAACCATTCATAATTCACTTAAATAATTTTACTAAGATTCAAAAATTCAGTTTTTAACTACATAATAAGAAAATTTTTACAGTGTTTGTGAGTGATTCAATATTGAATTTATTTTTTTTTTAATTTGTGTCATGCCAGGGCGCCTGGGTGGCATAGTTGGTTAAGCATCTGACTCTTGGTTTCAGCTCAGGTCAAGATCAAGCCCTATGTCAGGCTCTGTGCTCTGCGTGGAGTCTGTTTAAGACTCTCTCTCCCTCACCCTCTGCCCCTCCCCTCTGGTCACTCTTTCTCTAGAATTAATAAATAAATCTTTTTAAAAAATTGTATCATGCCAACTATGGAAGAGCATTGGATTCTAGGTAATAGTACCAGGTTGAATAATGTCCCTTCACAATTCATGTGCCCCCTGGAACCTGTGAATGTGACCTTATTTGGGAAACAGGGTCTATGCAAATGTAATAAAGTGAAGATGAGGTCATACTGGAATAGGGTATCCAACTGAATATTGAATCCAATATGAATAGTGCCCTTTTAAGAGGAAAATTTGGCTATAGAGACGCAGACACACAGGGGAGAAGGGCAGGGGAAGACAGAGGCAAAGACTGAAACACTGCATCTATAAGATAAAGAACGCCAACAACTGCCACCAACGAACAGAAGCTGGAAGAGGCAAGGAAAAGTTCTCTTTAGACTTTAGAGGGAGCATGGCCCTGTAGACACCTTGATTTTCAGCTCCCAACCTCCAGAACTGGAAGAGAATACATTTGTTTTGAGTCAATCAGCTCATAGTACTTTCTTATGGTAGCTCTAGGAAACTAATAGAGGAACTATATTTTCTAAGAAACCTGGCAGCACCTCTACAATGTCTCCCAGTTAGCTGGGCTGACATCCCAACAGCACTCACAAAAGAACCCTGCTGGTTGGTCCTGCTCAGCACCAGATCTATTGGCTGGACCCAACTTATTTTGATTGATTGATGCCACTGTCACAGATTGTTAAATATTTAAATATCCTTCCTCTCTGTATTGTAAGCTATCAGGTAGCCAATACTACCACCTTTAAAAAATATTTTACTTTAGGGGCACCTGGGTGGCTCAGTTGGTTAAGCGACTACCTTTGGCTCAGGTCATGATTCCAGAGTACTGGGATCGAGTCCCATATCAGGCTCCAGCTCCACGGGGAGTCTGCTTCTCCCTCTGACCTTCTCCCCTCTCATGCTCTCTCTCTCTGTCTTTTTCTCAAATAAATAAATAAAATCTTTAAAAAATATTTTACTTTATTTATTAATTTGAGAGAGAGAGTGCACGGGCATGAGCAGGAGGAAGGGCAGAGAGGGAAGGAGAAAATCTCAAGCCGACTCTGTGCCAGAACAGAGCCCATGGGAGTTTCAATCTCACAACACCAAGAACAAGACCCAAGCAGAAACCAAGAGTCCCACGCTTGACCAATAGAGCCACCTCGTCACCCCAACACTAACACCCTTAATTATTTCTTTAAAGTTATACATTTTGTAGATGGAATTATTGTTTTAAATTCTAGCTCTGCATCATCCAAATGCAAAGTACACCTGAGGGCCTTCCACCACTACAATCTTTAGACAACAAAAAGACTTTTAATATTGGCTTAAATTGAGAAAGATGTAGAGATTGTAGTTGTTGCTCTTGCTTTTTACATCACGTATCCATTTCCTCTTCTTCTGAAACAGTAGCCCACCTCCTTCTGAGGAATCATTCCCTTCTCCCCTATCAGTGTGGACACCAGACTCTGCCGGCCAATAGGAGCATCAGTCCTACTGGCCTCGGAGATTCAGGAGGGCAAGAAATCTACTCAGGGCCAGTGAAATACAGTTCAGGACTTGGGTTAGGGGATGGGGGAGGATATTCTCTTTTCTACTGGATTTGGACCAGGAAGATAAAGCCCTGGCAGTGTTGGCAGCCATCATGTAATCAAATGAAGCCCGAGAATGAAGCCAATGCAGAGGAAAGCAATGCCACAAGATGCAGACAGACCAGTTCTTGATTACAGTGTTCACACCAACCACACTTAAAGCTAGCTGTACCCTAACCTAATAAATGTTATTAGTTTAAAACTAGATGAGGTTTTCCTATTGTTGAAAATGAGCCTCCTACAACCGCAGAAAGAATCTCTTAAACAATAAAATACTTTGACTTGAATGAATAAACTACATGGTTTCTACTGTATTATATGATTACCCTCATTATAACAGATAAGCAATAGCTGATGATATAGAGGGTTTACCAAATATAGTAAAGCCATCAATAGTAGGTGATTGTGGGACAAAAAGTACAAGCAGTCTGCAATTTAAAAATAATCTAGCTATATAGGAAAAAAAAACTCTTAAGATATTCAGAGAAGAGTTAGAACTAAACTTTTGTACTGAATCTGATTTATCAAATGAGAGTAACTATTCTATTTTATGAGCGCTGATAATACAACCTCTTCCTAAGGCAAACTATAATTTAGTAAAACCCTAATTACAAGGTAAAATACACTTCCTTTGACATCAAGAGGTTAAGTCCAAAATTCCTATGCACCTATGTTATAAAATCTAAATGTATTATCTGATCTCTTTTCCAATGAATTAAAGTAAAGAAATATGTCATTTTTAATATTACCTATAATTTAAGGTATTTTATTTCTACTTTAGATAATTTCTGATGCTACTTATTAGTGTCTATAGGGATATGCAGAAGGGTTTTTGACTCAGCCTCTATCTGGTCATGATAATTTTCTTTTTGGTATCAATCTTTCAACAGTCAAGATAAGCCTTGAAAAATTAAGTATAGGAAAAAAAAAAACAGTTTACAGCATTTTAGCTTCCTTTCAAACATTTACTTCCACAAAAGTAGGCTTTTCTCCTACACTGTTTTAATTTAAGGCAGAAAAATATGTTTTGTTCTTCACTGTTGAAGGTTTGTTTTTGTAGAAACAACCAAACATAAAAGCATGAGAACTGCCCCCTGAGCTAGCACTACAGCCCATCTGGCTCAATAAATGATAACTGACTCAAATCTCAACTGACTTTTCTGGTAGACACCCAACTCTATCTTTCCTGCATTCTTTCTGTACTTGTGATAGCTTACAATTCAACATTAAGTTTTCTTTAATTTTGGGGGGTTCCTGGGTGGCTCAGTCAGTTAAGCATCTGCCTTTGGCTCAGGTCATGATCCCAAGGTCCTGGGATTGAGCCCCACATCAGGCTCCCTGTTCAGGGGGAGTCTGCTTCTCTCTCTCTCTCCCTCTGACCCTCCCCCAACTGTGCTTTTTCCCTCTCTCTCAAATAAATAAAATATTTTTTTAAAAAGTTTTCTTTAATTTTTTGACATGTGTTATTTCCCCCAATTAATCCAAAGTTGGGGGCTAGGCCCCAGCCCCTGGGGAAGAAAGGGTCCTAACTACAGAGCACAGTTCCACATAAAAACCTGGTCCCTGGTTCCTGAAAAACTCTTGAACTAGAACAGGAGAGGTAGGAACAAAGAGAACTTTGGGGAGGAATTTATCTGGTTCAACCATCTCATTTTAGAGATAAGAGAGTGAAAGGACTGAAGTACTTTTAAAAGACTTGTCTTATAACTAATTGGGGGAAGTACTGGAGGTGTAAGTCAGGCCTCTTGACCCAGTGCTCTTTTTACCAAGCAATTCTGCTAGAGTCCGGATCATGGCAGAAACATGTTTACTGACTCTCACGGCCTGTAAACCCACACCTTCCACTCTGAGTAACAAGTT